TAAATCAATCAAAATTTGTTTGTTGATGTTGAATCATCACAATGAGAATATAGCATAGGATGATTTAGCCATAAATGAACCAATGAGGCTATGGGTTAGCCAAAAAATGCAATAGTAGCTAACAGATCTTGGCTTTGAATTCATTTTTTTTACGCCCCTTCTTTTCGCTGCAGATCTAGTTGTGATTTTTGTTGATTTCATATCCAGTTGCTTACTTTTGTCTTCTCTGGATTATTCAAATTGATCCGTGGTACCTGTACAGGGACAATCTGCAATTTCAGTGGATGATACATTAAAAATCATAGCTTGCAGGTAGTACTTATTTTCATTTGATTGGATTTAAACTATCTAATTTTAAGTACACAGCCCCAATCTCTTGTAATATTTCTACTTTTTTTATAGGGAACAACAGAAGAAGTTGTTGGCTCTTGAGATGGACTTGGCTGCTGCTAGGCAGGAGGGTTTTATGGTGAAGCATTCAAGAGAGACTAACGAAACAAAGGTCCCCTTGGTTGTAATTGGAATTATCACCAGATTTGGCCGCAAAACCAACAGAGATGCAATTCGTAAAGCATGGATGGGAACTGGTAATGCATTATTCTTCCCTGTCGTCGAAGTTATTCACATGCCAAATTGCTAGGATTGAGGTTCTGTATACCTCAGAATATACAAAGAAAAATCAGGTTTAAGAATGAACAATTAAGACTGGAGGGCTTGTTATGGTGTGAGAAAGATCGGTTTTTGTGACTCTGTAATTCCTCATTGTACTTTCTCATGGCAGGGAAACAAATGTCTTCCCCCTTTCTGATTGCTACATTTTGAAAATATAGTTTATGTTTGTGTATATTAAAATCATTTCTTAACGCTGTTTTATTGAATGTTTAAACCTAAGAGCTTTATTTGCAGGTGCTTCTTTGAGAAAAATGGAGAAACAAAAGGGCATAATTGCTAGATTTGTCATTGGAAGAAGGTTTTATTTCTATTCATTTTTTCTCTTTATGTCTAATATTCTGATTTTCAATTGTATGTTAATGGCTGGTTTTGTATGCTTTCTTGTAGTCCAAACCGAGGGGACAGTTTAGACAGGGCCATTGACGATGAAAACGGACAATATAATGATTTCATTATACATGTATGTTTTCTTAATTGTTAGACGGTTTGCTTCAGCATCAAAATCATCAGTTTCTCGGGGAAGCAATTTTTGTTACCTGAGTAAAATTTAGTTGATTTTCTTTAGCCTACTTCTTTACAGAATGACCATGTGGAGGCGCCGGAGGAGCTATCAAAGAAGGCCAAGCTTTTTTTTGCTTATGCAGTTGATAGATGGGATGCTGAATTTTACGCCAAAGTCAATGATGATGTTTACATAAATATTGGTTAGTACAACTAGTGAGATGAACAATTTCCCGTTAATCCATCTAGCTTTGCATGTAAAAATCCTCCGAGAAAGTAAGAAACAAAATCAGTCTGTCAATGAAACTTCATGCCTCATGCTAAAACAATCAAGAAGTAAAAAAACTAGTGAGATGAATATCAAATTTTCTTGATTAGCCGGTGCTATATCTCTTTGTATTGAAAGTGAGTTAATTAATGCAATACGACGTTGGTTGAGACAGTCGCACCATAATGGAAGGTGTTCTGCATCATCTATTTGAAGACGGGAGCATTGTTGAGGAGACTGGCTCTTTTGCTTTTCTTTTTAGAAATAAGAAGAAAATTTTAAGAGGTTAGAGAAGTCTTGAGAAGTTTGAAGTTTGAAGTCATTAACAATGATTCTCTTGTAATTTTCTTTTCTTAGGGTTCATTTTCTTAGGTTTGGTCTTATTTTCATGACCCTTTTTTCCTAAACAAAATGCCCTCAATTGTGTTATTTCTTATAAAACACAACTATTACTGTACCTTCAACGTTACTTTTCCCATTGAAGTGAAGCTATTCTCAGCTTCTTCCCATTTCGGGCGTATGGCACTTTTGAGCTAAAATGTATACATTAGCTAATCATATCTGTAATTATTTTTGCTCTATGCAGATGTCCTAGGGAGCACACTTGCTTCTTACCTGGACAAACCTCGTGTCTATATTGGGTGCATGAAATCTGGTGAAGTGTTCTCAGAACCGTGAGTATGGCGTAAATCAGCAGACATTTAACGTAGGTAGTGGACATTTGACCATGAAACTAAATCTCTCATCTTTCTCCATTTGGACCTTTTCAGGAGCCACAAATGGTATGAACCAGATTGGTGGAAATTTGGTGATAAAAAAGCGTAAGTTATATTGCATCTGTATACGCCGAAAATTAATGTTACTGATTCGTTCTGCTAGATTCTTTCCTTTGCCGAACATTCTAAGACTGTGTTTGGGGTGTTCTTCCACTTTTTCCATGGTCAAAAACTCATTCCACTCGAGATTATTATGTTTATCATGTTTTGGTCTTTGGAGAATATATAGAGAAAGTCAATTTAAAAGTGTTTTTGTCTTAGAAACTACTTATATATGCATATATATTTGAGAAAGTATTTGTGGAAAAACACTACTCTAATGGTGTAGGATGAAAACCTATTGTTTATTGAGTACTTTAGTAAAAGAACACTTGCTAAATGCACATATTGAAAATCGTTTTGAACCGAACATTGACTCGGTGATCCTAACTGGATTTGTGAACCATAATTTCATCTCTTGTGAAAGTTTTCTTTACTTCCTTATGGCTGTTTTTCATAATTTTGTGTTCTTGTAATAAAATTTGCCATCTTTGTCTAACACATACAGATACTTCCGTCATGCTTCCGGCGAAATGTATGTCATATCAAAAGCTCTGGCCAAGTTCATTTCAATAAACAGGCAAGTGTTTCTGCTTATTATCCATCGTCTTGTCTGCATTTTACATAGCTCAACAGGCATGATTACATCAGGTTTCTCAATCTGCAGATCTCTTCTCCGTTCTTACGCCCATGACGATGTCACTGCTGGCTCCTGGTTTATCGGGCTCGATGCCACATACATTGACGAGGGGAAGTTTTGCTGCTCTTCTTGGTCTGCTGGTCTGTCTCCCTCTATCTCTAACACAACAGATCAGAATTGGAAATCTTCAAACCCCCAAAACTTCAACATTAACACTATAAGTACCAAGTTCTTAGCAAGTTGCATTTTGTTTTTTCTCCCTTTTCAGGAGCCATTTGCGCAGGTGTCTGATTGTGTTGCTTGAAAATCCTTGATGGGAAGGGGAAGTGCCAGCCTGAAGAGAACACAGAACTAATTTATATGTTTATGATGTCGTGTGTGTCGCTTGGCGAAAGACAATAATATTAGCTCTTCGGACGCTGTCTTCAGATTCTTACGCTAACGCTGAGTTCTCGAGAGACTGACCAGAGGTTCACAGTTTGTAAGATGTGCAATAACAGTATTTTCTTCATTCTTTAGACTTCACTTCATCATACAGACGTTCTTATCTGTTATTTTGGCGTTCATTTAGCACATCCGGATGTATGTTAGTTAATTCATTCAGGCTAGTTGGACCTTTGAGAAATGTAGATTATTAAAGGCACTGTTTTATGAAGCACCTATAATCGAGGATGACTCTCTTGTGGAGCAAAACTCTCGTGCTGTTGTTCATTTGCCCTGTTATGTTAACAGATAACAGAAATCAAACGATTCGGAATGTGATTAGACTATAAGAGTAGAAGCGATTTAAAACCTTGAGGTTGACAGCGAAGCGGACAATATCTACTAGCGGTGGACTTGGACGGTTAAGAAGAATAACAGAAATCCAACTCTTCGCTTGTTTAAATGGTTGATTAGCCACTTTAGATACATTCAGTTTGTTTCATTTATGAATCTCTACTAAGAAGGTGGTAACTTGTTATAACACATCGACCACTAGTAACTTGACACTATCAACGACAATATTCTTTATGACATTTACAATCCCAAGAGGCCACTATTGTCGTATACAAAGACTCATAGTTGGAAGTATTACAAATTTTTTGACACTATCTATAACAACTCAAGTCCAAGCCCAACGCTAGTAGATTTTTTGGACTTTTTCTCCGAATTTCACCTCAAGGTTTTAAAACAAAACATTCTTTTATAATAGTATCATAGCTAGATATTGAGCGGTGTGTCAGCAAGTATGCTGGGCCCCAAAGGGGTGGACTGTGAGATCCCACATTGGTTGGAGAGGAGAACGAAGCATTCCTTTATATAAGAATGTGGAAATCTCTCCCTAACATAAACATTTTAAAACCTTGAGGGAAAACCCAAATGAGAAAACCGAAAGAAAACAATATCGGCTAGCGGCGGGCTTGGGCTGTTACATTTATACACGTTATCTAATATGTTATAAATCATATTAAGTATACATATTTTTGTTCCGGCCATTATAGCACATGTGTCTCTCACATGTGTCCCTCACAACATAACGGGAACGTAATCCTAATCTTCCTCTGACTTATCCCTAATAGCTTCTCAAAGTTTTCAACTTCAAATATGGAAGCTAAACATGAGGGTTATGCATGTTGCAAGACTTAATCCATGCAACCCTCTCCCCATGCAACCCTCTCCCCACATTCCCAAAGGTACCAGGACACAACCAGCTTGCTAGCACCTCAATTATTTTCACCAGGCGACTATCTACCTAAGATACCAAAGAAATTTAAAACATATTAAATCCCAGGTAGGTGACCACCCAATTCCTGACCACGAAGATTTTCTTCTTTTATTCGAGAAAATTTAAAACGTACCATTTTGGTTTCTTGTTTCAAGAATACGTTAAAACGTCGGCTACTTTTTGTTATTTTTTCCATTACTACAAAATAAAAATAAAAATTTCTATTATTTTTTCATTACTCAAAGAAAAAAGAAATCGTTTTAGTTTACTTATGTCTACATGTCCCAACTACATTTTAAGGTACATCGTATAACTTTTGAAACCAAACGAACCCATTTCTTGAAAACTCGGGACTCGAAAGGTAGTTTGTGAAAGTAGGCCTATGATTAAACCATGGAAGGCATAAATACCTAAGCTTAGTTTATATTTTATATACAACAAAGCAAGGGAACAATTTCATGCTACAATACAACAAAAGGAAGTAAAACAGCAAAAGATGCCTCTTATCAAGAGAATACATACAATGCCTAAGAACTGGAGAGGGTTACAAGCATGTTCAAACGCTCGCTCTCACAGGTTAAATATGTGGTCACTTGCACTAAATAAGGCAGCATTGAACTGTCTTGTATTCAAGTCACCTCCATCCAAAGAACCAAATCGGTCGAGCCACTGCGTCGGGCTCGGGTTTTCGCTTTCCTCTACCCACTCTGAAGTCATATCAATGTCGTCGAACTGGATAGGATCAGATTCCAGGGGTTTTGTTTTCATCTGTCTAGCTAACTTGAGATTGTAGTTTATGTAGACGAGGTCATTGAGAGTTTCTTTGTCGATCTTATTCCGTTTTTCGGAGTGAATTTGCTGAAACGTGCTCCAATGTCTTTCGAAAGAGAAAGTACTACAAACTTGACTGAGAATCCGTATTGCTACTCGTTGTAACACGGGTGCAGAGTCACCAAACTGTTCCCACCAAAGCCCTACAACACATCAAATGGTGAGCTTCTGTCAAAACAAATGAATGTCGAACAATAATAGATTTACTAAGCCATCATAGCTAGGAGAGATCCGGACTTTTGACTTCTTGGTCGAAAACATGTGCATTAACCAGTTGAGTTATACCTAAGTTAGTCATCGACCATTTAGAACTATTCCTAAACGAAGGACTAAAGTTCTTCGTTCTAAAACCTCTATTAATAGATATCGATTCTAAACCATGCCCTCAAGAGTATTGACGCCTACATTCCTAATTCAGAGCTTCCAAAATGATATTCATTTAATGGAATGAGCAACTAAAAGAGGAAGAAAAGAAAACCATGCATTCTAGACAGTTGAGCAGTTGTAGGAAAAAAAAGGAACAGAACACAAAATACACCTTAGCTGTAACAACCCAAGTCTACCGCTAGCAGATATTATCCTTTTTGGGCTTTCCCGTCCGGGCTTTCCCTCAAAATTTTTAAAACGCGTCTGCTAAGGAGAGGTTTCCACCCCCTTATAAAAAATGGTTCGTTCTCACATTAGCAGTGAATACACTCGTTAACTATATTCAGGACAATGAAAACAAGTATATTGAAAATATGAACCGTTCAAGTAAAAATTAAGTTTAGCTGTTTCATAATATTCGGATTTGGAACTAAGTAGAGGAATTCCTAATGCAGGATTCGAACTCGACGTTCGGGTAGTTGCTAAATCTAAGCATTTTAGTGTACAAAATTCTTCACACTGGAAATGCCATGACTGGATCTAGTGATTTAGTTCACCTAAAATCAGCAAGGAGTTGAGAGATTCAATAGCAGAAAACTTACAAGGCGAAACGGTATCTCGTGCTTCCATAGCTAAACTGCATCCAAACATCCCGTTCGCCTTTGTGAAAGTAAATATTTGATTGGTAATATCCCGTCTCATCTCTGGCAAGGGGAGTAATTTCTCCAAAACATTAAAGAAGTCTTCTTTAATGGAAGTAAGGAACTTTATTTCTGAATTGTACTGAATACTCGGGTTCAAAAACGCAGCTGCTGCGTGAAGAGGAGAATGAAGTTGGTCTCGCCACTTTCTATCGACGATATCGAGGAACGTCTTGCACTTGATTTCATCCATTATATAGTACGTTCTTATTGATTCTTTTGCTCTAGTCATTAACTCATATATACATCCCACAGCAGGTTTACCCCCAGACACTTCTCTTAATACTCTTAGGAAAGGCTCTGAAATTGCTACACATTCTTCCACTGCCCTCCAGAAATCATTATCTTCTATAATGGCAATACAAGAAATGCTCTGTGGTTTATTTGCATAAGGATTTGTGGTGTATTCAGGGCTGTTGAACATATGCTTCAGTCTTGACCTTTGCTTCAGAATAGATTGCAGAGACAGGAAGCTTGATACGGGTTTCGATATCCCAGTTCGAATGAGTTCTTGACCGCCCGTGAACCTTCGCATCAGGTCAAGCAATGAGGAACTATTATATAGAAACTTTGATATGGTTTGTGCTTGCAAGATACATCTGTTTACCCAATCTACCTTTGAAAATTCCTCCAAAATTGAATTCAGACACTGAGAAGCACAAGGAGACACAAATATAGTTCCATAAGTCTGAAGGATATGATTAGCAATGCCTGTATAGTTGAAACTACTGTCCATAATTATCTGTACTACGTTTTCATGTCCAAAATCTTGAATCACAGAATCGAATAAATCCGCTAGGCACTTTGTGTTCTTGAAATATGCAGATGCATCGACCGATTTGTGAAAAAAGGTCTGGGATGGAGATGAAACCAAAAAGTTTATCAAAGCCCTTGATTTATTGTCGGTCCACGTGTCTACGATGATTGTGCAGCCGGTGGTAGCCCACTCTTTCTCAATATCCTTCGACTGAAGGCTCACTTCAGTTTTGATCCTTTCCAGCCATGTACTCTTCAAAGTTTCTGCAGAAGGACCCGTAAATCCCGGGCCACATTTCCCTATTGCATCGATCATTAGCTGATACGATGAAGATCTAGCTATACTAAAGTCTAGCTTATTCTCAAAAAAGAACAAAGCAATGCTTTTCTCAGCATTTTCATGGTTGAGTAATGATGGGGGAGCCATGGGAGTAACCGTTGGAAAAACTTTGGCGATTGGAGACGGGGCCTCCATTGAAACAACAGATTTACATGTCGACATTGATGGCGCATTTTCGACAGTCTTGACTTCAGCTATCTTCTGCTTTTTCCCACTCGACGTTTCCTTAAACTCCTCTCTAGTTGCTAGTATGGCTCTAACTCTATCCGAAACATCGTCCCTCACTTTACTACATGGATTTACACCTCTACTCGGCAATCGAGATAAATGATGCTTCAATCTACTAATCCCACCATTCAAAACTCTAAGACAAAATTTACACTTCACCTTGTTACCATCTAATTTCTCAGCATACTCCCAACAAATATCTTTCTCACGGACCACTGCGAAAAGTAACGAGAATCAAACAGCTGATGTGGTTCGTCATCCAAGGAAAAACATGCCAAAAACTTATAGAATCCACAAAAGGCGACAACGAGCGAAAGAACGTATACAAGGATAATAACACAAGAATCTAGTTTGGCAACAAGTATTGGTAACAAAAAAGTTTCAAACTCACTCAGGATGTGTATGTGTTCTGATGTTCCGGCAAGCCAACCTACCGAGGACCAAACCAAAAGGACAGTAATAAGCAGCTGAGACGCCATGATAGAAAATTCATGATTAGCATAGAAACAACAAAAGATAGATGAATAAAACAAGACAGAAAGGATCTAAAATGTGGAACACCATAGACCTTTCCTTAACATTATCAAACCAGCTGGTGTCATGTCTGATTGCTTGTGAATTTGAGAGAAACAGAACATGATTATTTAGAAAAAAACATATATATTCCCTGAAATCATTTTGTCCCTTATTTTGATGGGACTGAAACTCCTCAAGAAAAGGGATCTTCCAAAATGCCTCTGCCTCTCTCAGCAATGTTCAACTAACTTACGTGTTGGTATGAACTTAAAGCCACACCATTCGTATTTGAGAGAGAAACTTTAAAAGCAAAACCAAGTGATCTGAAAAAACAACTATGAGTATCAAATCAAAACCTCTTCTACTTTTTTACTTTTTTCCAAACATTTTAGAACACCCCATTTTCCCTCCATCGATTTTTTCAGAAGCCAAACAAGTCAGAAACCCCCCCTTACATTAAACTAGCAATCACATATCCATGAAATTGAAGTAACAAAAGATCATAAAACGAAAACAAAAGTTCCAATATGGATCATCATCCAAGAACTTAAACAATCCCACAAAGAACCAAGAGACTGCCAAAGAAGCAGAAAACTGGAATCAATTGAAAAATCCGAACACCCTTTTTCCACTGAATTCTCTCCCGACAGTGAAAGAAGCAGAAAAGTGGAATTGTAAAACAAATCGGGAGGCATGAACTAAAATAGAGCTGAAAAACACAGAAAAAAGTAAGAAAAGAAGACATGGAAAAGTGGGGGAGGAAAACGAAAGAAAATTAACGAGAAATTTAAGGGGAACTTACAGAAGAGAGAGAGAGAGATTGGTTATTTGGGTGGTGTTGTTCTCGACGGAGAGATGAGCGGAGGGTTAGCAGTAGAGGAAAAAAATGATCGATTTATCGCGAGATTTTTGAGAGACCTCAAAAGCTCTGTTCTTAGGGTTTTTGTTCAATCAATTTTATTTCTTTTTCTCTTTTTCAAATTTTCATTTCTTTTATTTTATTTTATTTTTCCATACGATATATCGCGGGCCATCCAATCCAACAACCAATTGATAACTAGTTTCCTTCCCTATTACCCGACATGTCGATTTTCAATCCCGATATGTCGATGTTGGAAACGACGTCGTATTTCGAGATAGAAAAAGTAATCGGATTTTAGGAAGACTTTCTCTATCAGAGCCAGGTTTCGATCCTGGGACCTGTGGGTTATGGGCCCACCACGCTTCCGCTGCGCCACTCTGATTTGTGGACATGCAACTGATAAATATTTAATTGATTATCAGCCAACATCGATGATAGAAACGACGTCGTATTTCGAGCATAAATATATTGGGATAACGTTGACGGATTTGGAAGCCTTTCTATATCAGAGCCAGGTTTCGATCCTGGGACCTGTGGGTTATGGGCCCACCACGCTTCCGCTGCGCCACTCTGATTTGTTGAGATGCAACTGATATATAATTAATTCATTATTAACCGACATATCGATGATGGAAACGACGTCGTATTTCGAGCATAAATATATTGGGATAACGTTGACGGATTTGGAAGCCTTCCTCTATCAGAGCCAGGTTTCGATCCTTGGACCTGTGGGTTATGGGCCCACCACGCTTCCGCTGCGCCACTCTGATTTGTTGAAATGTTTATTTTTATTTTGTTTAATTATAATATTATTATTTTTAAATTAATATAAATAGCACAATTATTTGCTTCTCTCTTTTATCGTTAACTAAATAGTTTTTCGATTTTTATTAATTGATTTAATAGAAAATTTTCCTTTTTTGAAATTTTAACTCATTTATTTCAAGCATTTAATTTTGATTAAGTTTTGAAGTTTTTTTTTTTTTTTTTTTTTTTTTT